CATACCGTTCTGTTTTCAATAACTCCCCCAGCCTTCCTTGTTATCTTGAATTTCTTAAAATAGACTTCATTTGAACTATACATATATGGTTCTGCATATCCCTATAACCACACTTATCTCTTCCCAATCAAGCAGAATCACTCTGGTTTTCCAGGATTGCTAATAACAGAAGAAAACTCAACTCTCCAAAGCTCTTTAATAAAATAGCTGAGTTTTAGATCAGCACATGGTTTGATCTTGGAAGAACTTACCTTATAGAAACTCTTACAGTTGAATTCAAAGGAGACAAGATTAGGTTAGTCAACAGCATCACTACTACAGCACTAACACAGATATTTTATTAAATAATAATTTAAAAGCTTTCCTTAAAAACATTGCTGTACTGCTATTCCTACTATGGTCACAACAGAGAGTAGATGTAAGAACCTGAAAAATAACTGGTCCCAGCTGTATCCCACCCAGAGTCTTTTGTTGCAGCAGGCAGAGTGGTCCTGATGGGAGTAAATGAGCTCAGCTGGAGAGGGAGAAGCATCTTAGCAGCAGTCCCTGAAAAAGAAGAGGCTGAGAGAGAAGCGAGGAGCTTTCTGTATCCTGAGATATCTGTCAGCTGTTTGGAGTAATTGGCTGCCCTCAGCTGTCCTGGAAGGCATAGTGCCCAGCTCCTGGCTGGTGTGTAATCTCTCCTTGGTGTTTGCAAGCATTTGAGAAGCCCTTCCAAAAGCACAGCTTGGGAGGGACCATGGGCATTTCTGGTTCTTGAGATCATGCCTCACCTGCGTACCTGGGAGAAAGCTGCTTTCCATTGCACTGCCTTCAGGACTTGCTGTGCAGTTCCATTTGCCATGACACAGCCCTAAGGACGCCCTGGTGGGGACAGAGGACTAGCTTGCTCCAACAGTGCTCTCAATGGCAAATGGCCACGGCTGGGCTCTGGGGACTTGCAGAGTTTGACTCCTTGCCTTCTTATGTAGGAAATATTTGTAACCTGGAAGCATCAGAGAAAAGCATTGCCCATGCTCTCAAGAGCATCAGAGAGGTGTATGGGGGCCATGAGGGAGATACCCACGGGCAGAGATGAGAGGCTGGAGCTGAGCCATGCACAGGCAAAGGAAGGGGCTCCTGCCAAGAAAGTGCTCTTTGATTAGTGTCATTAAACGGTGGGTAGATAAAAATCATCGTCTTCTCTAGTCTTCCCACTGCCAGATGGCGTGATTTCACACTCACCTGCAGAGGGAGACAGCTCCTCTTTATTAGCCAAATTTTGTTGACAGTTTGGCGCCTCCACCTTACTAGGCTGGAAAAACCAGATAAGCAATTGATGTTGCTGTGGCAGCCCACAGCCAGATTCTCCCATGGAGATGCTACCAGGGGCGTGCGGGGACCCTTCCAAAGCCAACGGGGGCTGGAGCAGCAGTAGTCTATGAGCTGTTTGCAAAGTCCTTCAGGGGAGCAGCCTCCGAGTCAGTGCCAGGCTCAGCTGTGTGCCCCAGCAGTGCTGCAGCTGCTGGCACTGGGCTAAGGAGAGGGGTCATAACAGGAGCCATGCCAGCGTGTGGCTGCGCCCCTTCCCTGTTCCCCACAAGGAGCTGCCCCCGGCCCAGGGTTCGGGCAGAGCTGCACAGCCATCACCTGCAGCACGCGTTCATTTGCAAGCCCAGGGTGTTTCCAAGCCAGGACGGCTCCCAATCACAGGGCTGCCGTGCCTCTCGCAGAGAAGTTCGGTGAGGAGCTGTGGGGCCGGGTGAACCTGCAAAGCTGGCTCAAGCGTGCCCCGAACACCTCCCGCCGCGCTCGGGGCCCTCGCAGGGAGATCCGCTCTCAGCAGTGAGACCGCGGCTGTTGCTGCATCCTGCGGCTGTTGCTGGATCCTGCTCGTGATGCCCCAGCCCTGCCAGGAGCAAGACAAAGGGGCAGAAGGTAGCTTTGCCCTGTGCACAGCTCAGCTGGGGTTGCAGCTCTTGGGTGAGGCTTCTTCAGTCTTCTGAAAAGTATTGACTCATGTCCTACTTTTCCTCGAGGGGAAAG